TTTGAAGAACTTATTTCAACATTTCACTCAACAACAAACAAAATCGTCACTTCAACAGTCAAACTGCATTTTATTTCTGCAGGTCCACATACGGGGCAGCGAGCAGGGGGCTGCGAGTGGCCCCCGAGCCACGGCTTTGGGAGCCCTGACTTAAACAATATTACAGTCCCGTCTGCAGCTAAGGGGTACAAACATGTTTCAATACTGATCCTGCACTATCCACTGTCTATACAGGTCATGCTCTCCTGATATAAACTATTATTATTATTATGTTAGGATCAGTCTATGAATATATTTGTAAAGTTAAATTATTGAAGTATTAACAAACTGCTGCTGTGATTAAATAAGACACTGAAGCCTCCTTTGGCACCAAATAAAAGTGACTTGAACTGAACCCACGTAACCATGGCGAAGGCACCACCACCGATGCAAAGAGCTGCAGAGCTCCAGCAGTGGCCGTGACTGTGAGACTGTGGCGTCAGCAGCACTCACCTTCTGGACCACGTTCTCCTTCTGCATTTGACTCTGCCTGAGCTTCTTCAGCAGCACGAGGCGAGCCTCCTCCAGACGAAGCTCTTCTCTTAGAGCTTTGATCATCTGCTGCCTCTCCTCTCCCGTCTTCCCCTGGTACAAACAAGCACACAGAATTAAAGAGGCACACTATATCCAGACATAAGACCAGAGGCGACTTTGAGCTCGTTGAACTCAACAGCCAGTCTGTACAAACCAGACTAAACCTGCACAGAAGCTGCAGTTTGAACAGCGCGTCTTGTTCCTGCATCGACACAGGATGTGACTGCAGAGTAAACAGGACACGTTGGGCTGAAATATTCTTTTGTGCAAAGTCAAAAACAGCAAATTAAAACCTGTTTACTTCAAGAAAAAGTGATTTTGATTCATTCACAGGAGTTTTGCTGACTTCATGCATCTGCAGTAATGTCAGTACTGGTGTTTAGACACATCTGTATTCATGTTTCCATGACAGCCTGTGGAAACATGCAGCTTTCACACATGTGACACTGACTATTATATTTGTTGTTGTTTATTGTCCACCTGCGTTTCTTCTTGTCCTTAGCGGGCGACCAGCAGCGGTGGTCAGCACGCTGCTGTAGGTGCCGCAGGTTCTCTTGCTTGACCAGCGATTATCTTCCACGCGTTTCGATCTAAGGCGATGGTTCTTCCTGCTCGAGGTCAAGTCGAAGGGCCTTCAAATCATCCTGGATTTGTTTCATCCATGTCTTCTTTGGTGCATTT